CAGGAGTTTGAGGTTGCTGTGAGCTAGGCTGACGCCACGGCATTCTAGCCCGGGCAACACAGTGAGACTCTGTCTCAAAAAAAAAAAAAAATTAGTCGGGAAAAAAGACATCGTGGCTCTCCAGTGCCCGCATGAGCCCTGCTAAATTTGTCTTTCCCTGCAGGTGTCCGAGCTCTGATCCTGGTGGGCCTCGAACGAGTGGCCGACCTGGAGCGGGTGACCCAGCTGGAGTTTGGGCGAGGGTTCATGTACGACAGGCCTCTGAGGCTCAACCTGCTGGACCTGGATTACGAGCTGGCAGAGGAGCTCGTGAGTTCTTTTTAGTGCCTTTACATGCACGCAAGTTCAGATTTTTGGCATCTCAAGAGAGTAAAGTTCATTATCACACAGTGATGGGGTAGGAGTGTCTGGGTGGGTAAACTACTTCATTTAGTTCAATGGGGACCTGACTTATCGCCACAACACGCGTGGATCCTGGAACTGGCGACCATGAATGGCTGGAGTATGGGATTGCAGGAATGTGGCTGTTGTCCTAGGATGTGCTTTGCTCCCCTTAGCAGGTGCCTCTTTTAATGTCCTTTCCCTTGGAAAGGTCCTATTCCTGGGAATGCAAACTGTGGTGACCAGCCATCTCAGACAGGAGACAGTGCCCAGGACATCTGAAACCTACACAGTGCAAACAAGAATGTGCAGAAAAAGAAGGGCCATTTCCGGGTGGAGAAGCGCTTTTATGGCCTTCTTCCCTAGTTCCCCTTGGTGCAAATGGAGGTGTCCCAGGAGGCTTCCTAATCCTCCCCGTCCAGCCTCTCTCAACTCCAGGGGTCATCGCCTGGGTTTGGAGTGGGGGCGGGGCTCTGGGAGACACGGGGCTGCGTGGTGACCTCCAGATCCTTTGGTGGTGGCAACAGTGGGCTATGGCTATGTGAATGGGATGAACAGACTCTGCATCTTCCTTCCCACCCGCCTTCTTCCCAGGGCTAGAATGAGGATTTTTTATTGGGTGGAAGAAGGATGAGTTAGTTGACAAGTCTGGAGACAGAAAGTAAAAGCTCTAGGAAGCTCATTGCAGGGAATGCATGTGGCCACTGCCAGTTCAGCAGATGGAAATGCATCTGGGGCGTGCACTTTCCCCTATGAGGTCGGGGGCTGGCTGGGACAGGAGTGTCAAGGGTGTTTGGTGGGTGTTGGAGGCACTGGTGACCTAAAATTGTGGTGCTTGTGGCTCAAAAAGGCTGGGACCACATGTGCCTGTCCCTGCTCCCACAGCTGCTCCCGAGGTCTCCAGGGGCACCTCTCTGGGCTGGCACCATATTTTTGACCGTGATCATGGTCCTGAGGAAGGGCCACAGATCTCTCTTCTGGAACCACCTTCAGTCCTGGCCATCTGCAATTTGTTTGTTAGGTTTTGCACTTTGGAGCTTAAACATATATGAGTTATACTTAAGAATATGTATGTTGGAAACTTCTAGAAATCAGGTCTAGGCAGAAGTGACCTTGTGGATAAGATTTATCTTACTTTGGTTGTTCTTTACTCTCCCATTGGTGATGTCCCCCCCGCTCCTCAACTGCCAAGAGCTGGACCCTCAGCCTAGGCCGGTCTTGGAGTGACAGTCTTTGCAGTGACTTCATCTTGCCCCGTGGAACCCTCATGCATCCCATTTTGACGGTTGCAGCATATTTATGATTTTGTCCTGGGCATTTCTTAACACTTGAACTTTTTCTTTCTCTTCCTTTTGGCAGGACAACATTGCCGAGAAAGCTTGCTGTGGGGTCCCCTGCAAGTGCTCCGGGCAGAGGGGAGATCGTGGGCCCCTCGGCAGCATCGGGCCGAAGGTACGGTGGCTTGGCCTTTGCCCACTCCTGAGACTAGATGTTGGAAGGCCAGCGTTACTGCGGCCGGGTAATTCGTCTAATGTCACGGCTAGAGGCGGATGAGGGAGAAGAAAGACCATCCCACGTTGTGGAAGAGGCATTCTGCGGGGCAGACCCCAGCGCGGCGCTGCCCGGGGTCCTCCCCAAGGAGCAGGCTCTGGAGGGTCCGAGTGTTTGCAGCATTCTCTGCTCCCACGGGATGAGGGGCTCTGTTCTTTAACACTTCGGTCCTTCATTTCATAAAATAACCTTAAAACCAGCGGGTGTCGCTGACTGGCAGCCTCGCTGCGCATGTTCGCTGGGACTCAGCATTTGCGGCTGGGCTGGGAGGACGCGACAAGCTTTCCTGGCAGAGGAGGAGGCTTAAAGGTCCTGATGGGAGGAACAATCCCGCTGGATGATGAGCGGAGGGCTGTTCAGTTCTAGGAAACACCTATGTCAGGGTGAATGTTAGCGCTGCTCTGCCAGACGAAGGGGGCTCACACAGATAATACAGAACGAAGAAGACCACAGGACGTGACGATCCCAATTTGCCTTGTTTCAGGGTATTCCCGGAGAAGACGGCTACCGCGGCTACCCTGGTGATGAGGGTGGACCTGTGAGTAAAAGTTGTTTTAGTCCTTAAAATTTTATCCCCTCCTTGTTCCTTGCATGTTGGGACTGAATCGTGGAGTTCGCCGTCGCTCCGGGGGGTCCAGCGCCCACACAGACCCAGGGCCCGGAGGCCCAGCCGTCCTCCGCCCACCTGGCAGTGCCGTTGGTGCCGCCGCCCTCTGGGACCCTGTTCCCCCCAGGGGAACTGCGGGCTCCAGGCAGCGCCGTCGGTGCTGCAGGGACGCTGAGAGGCTCCCCGGCCCCCGCGGCCTCCCTCGGTGTCCCCGCAGTGAAATCTGCTTTCTAACGCTGCCACTCCAGTGTTGCAAGCCCCTTGGAGACACGATGACAAGTGGCTCCAACTTGCCAAATGCCTTTGTTTTTCGCAATAGGGTGAGCGAGGTCCGCCTGGCGTGAACGGCACTCAAGGCTTCCAGGGCTGCCCGGGCCAGAGAGGAGTAAAGGTACAGCGGCGGGGGGTGGGGGTGGAGGGGGTTGGCTGAGCGTGGGGCGGGGGTCAGGCCAGCTGCACGTGCGGCAGGGACACCCTGTTTCTCCAAGTGCCCTGGGGAGGGGGCAGCGGCCTGCCCGGACTTCTCTGCAGCCCGTGGCCTCTGGCTGGAAGGCGCCCCTCAGTGGGGTGGCTTTGGGAGCTTGGGCCGCGGCTGGAAGGGAGCCGGAGAATGGAGAAATAGTTTCCTATGGAAACACGGAGCAGCCAGGAAACATTCCCGAGGAGAGAACGTGGGCCAGCGCAGAGGGGAGGCTGGTGCCCAGTTTCGGCCCCTGGCCCGGGGGCAGCCAGGGAGGGAGGAGTGACAGAGGACACCAAGTGGGTCGAGGGCTGATGAGCTTCCTCCTCTGGTGCTGAAGCGTGAAGGCAGGTGCTGGAGGGAGTTACAAAGTCAGCCTCCGCCTCCCGAGCCCCTTCCCCCGGCTCTTGGGGCCCACCCTTCCTGCCCAGGAGCCCAGACCACCCCAGTGCTGGTTCTAGGCAAATTAGCGTTATCACCGCCCCACGTGATGGACCCAGGAGTGCACAGGGACGAGTCTCTGATGTTGGCATTTCCAGACACTGTGACGTTCAGATGGGGGGGACCAGCCCCTCGGGAGAAGCTAATGTGTCCCCTGTCCCCTTACCTTCCAGGGCTCTCGAGGATTCCCAGGAGAGAAGGTATTCAATCTTGTTTTTGTTTTTCACACTGAAAAGTTTCCCAGTATTTCTCGTTTTTTCCTTTGCCAGAATAGCTTTCTATACTCACTTGTCTGTCTCATTCCCTCACAGGGTGAAATAGGAGAGATTGGGCTGGATGGTCTTGACGGCGAGGAGGTGAGTGATTCAGTCTCCAGGTCTGAGCTGCTTCGGGTTCTAATAACTGTGGTGGAAATTGCCCCAGGCATGACCTTTCGTCACTGTCCTTGGCAGGGAGACAAAGGATTGCCCGGCTCTTCTGGAGAGAAAGGGAACCCTGGAAGAAGGGTAGGTCTATTTCCAGTGTTGCTATTGTGGGAAGAATAGAAACATTTCATTTAGGGAATAGTTATTTCCTTTACCCGTATAGGTAAACCACTTCCTCCAGGCAGCCTTCCCTGACCTCCCCTGGGGTGTGCCCGTGACCCCCTGTCAGCTCTGATGTGCTACATCATAGACAGACCATGTCCCACAGGGCAGGGACTGAGTATGTTTTGTTATAAATAAAGCTCCAGTGCTTGGCACCCAGTGGGTCCCCAGTAAACATTTGTGAATTAACTGAACAAATAAAAAATATTTGGAAGTGAATTTACCTTCATGGCAAATGAGTTAATGGTAAACACTGTTCTATTCAAGATTTGTGAATTGTGAAGAACGTGATTTTTAGGGTGAGGTACAAATGGAAAAATCTAATTTTTAGCTTCTACTTGTGTTTTTTCATTTAGGGTGATAAAGGCCCCAAAGGGGACAAAGGAGAAAGAGGAGACGTTGGCATTCGCGGTGACCCGGTGAGGATTTCTTTCTTGACGATTTAGACCTGAGCCCGGGGAAGATGGTGGTGGGAGAAGTGGGGAGAAGGAAGAGTTTCACTGTTGAAATTGCTTTAACAAGTGTCGGTGAAACATGTGCTTTGTCTTCTCCTTACACTTTCGGGCTTTTCTGGGAGACGTCTTCGTTCTCTCGTTGTAAAGATAAGCAATTGCAAGTCCTGCAAGTTTCCCTAAAATGTGGGCTCAGGACACCTTAAACTTGCTTTCGGAAAAGAGAAAGTTTGCAGCTTTTTTCGTTTTATGGCTTTGTGAAACCTCTAAGCAAATGACCACCACCCCTCCAGGCCACCCTGCCTGCGGCCAAGGACAGGCGGCAGCCCCTGGGGCATCCCCCTCATCAGGAAGAACCGTTGCCCAGGGCGGGGCTGGGCGCGGCTCGCTGACCCCGTGGCCAGGTTCTGTCGGAGTTGGACGGACGCCGTCTGGATGCGGTGTGGCCATAGGGACTGTCCCTTGGAGCCTTCCACTCAGGCCGTCACTAATCCTGTCCTGACCGTCCCATTCCTAGCACATGCGGCTCATCTCCCTGTTGTTTGTTGTTTTCAGGGTGAGTCAGGACAGGACAGCCAGCAGAGAGGACCCAAAGGAGAAACCGGTGACATCGGCCCCATGGTACAGCACTCAGTGTTCTAGACTCTCCCTGTGCTGGGGGCCAAAGACAAGACACTCACCTTGGCACCTCAGCGGCCACGGAAGCCACAGACACGGCCTTTGACGCTGAAGAGCAGCGTGGGACGGGGAGCAGCGGGGCCCGTGAGGCCGCCTGCGGGTGCATGTGGAGGAAGTCTCCGTGGGGAGCCAGGGCGACCCTTGCCAAGCAGGGCTTCTCCGCAGAACTCGTGCCCCTTAGATAGTTACGTCAAAGGCCTGTAGAGGTGGGAACGTACAAAGTCTAATGCATCCCGCAAAGTATCCGACCACCTGCCTGCGGGCAGCTCTTCCTGGTGAATTTACCCCTTGTCCCTCCGTGTCTCCTGCGATATTCCAGAGTTAGATGCTCCTTTCTGCAGATGAGACTCTCATGCTAATTTTCTCCCCCACCCCAGGGTCTCCCAGGGAGAGACGGAGTATCTGGAAGTCCTGGAGAAAATGGGAAGAATGTGAGTGTCCTTAGGGATTTGGGGGGTTCCGCGGTAGAAACTTAGTAAGTACCCCATGATCTGCCCAACGCGGCCTGGTGCTAGTTACTCAGCAATGCTTTGTTTAGGGATTTTGGAAAGCGCCGTTACCCAGATCTTGTGGCTAATAGAGATTTTTTATTCTTATAATTTACTAGGTGCTCCATCTCTTCTCCCTCTGTTCCCAAAAATATACTGAACAGATGCTTTAAAAATATTATCTTTGCTGGTTTCAAATATTTGGCCAGGGTTTATCTCACCAAATATTTAAGAAATCCCAAAGGAAATACTCACCCTGGGGTCCGAGGGAATAAAGGGCAAGAAGGCTGAAGTGGTTGTATATTTGTTATTGTTTTTATAATTATTTGTTTTGCTTTAACTGAAATAAGGAAACTAGGTTTGTTTTTTTCCTAGTGTATTATGTCTTCAATTGCTTTTAAAAGAAATTTCGGACATGTCTGTTGCGGAATAGCTCATTGCATGCCCAATCTCCCAGGCTTGCTGAAGAAATGCTAAAGCCCAAGTGGTAGAAACGATCTTTAGGAAGCCATCTGAGAGCTTCTAGGTCCCAGGGGCATGGAGAGTGTGGACCTTGTAGCTGGGAGAAGAAGCTTCCTGTGTGGGGTGGCAGTGGTCTAGAAGTTTGCAAATCCTCAGGGGAAGTTTAGGATGCTGGTGCCTGCCTACGACAGGGCTCTGCTCAGAAACCAACAGAGCACAAAAGCTGCAAGCTGGGCTGGGCAGCTGAGAAAACGGGGTCCCTTGGCCACTTCCTGAGGGGAGCTGCACACGCAGCCCTGGCAGCTGGGCCGGTAGAGTACGCCGAGGGGAGGGGCTTTCAAAAGAAAGGACTAGCCAAAACCAAATGACAGACGATGGGCATCACTTTGCTTTTTAAAATTCAGGGGAAAACTTAAACTTTGAAAATATTGGTTTAAAAGGTTTGCGCTTTATTTTTGAATAATGATGTGGCAGTTTCACCTCAGTTAGTGAGCAGAGCCAAACTTGGTTTCCTGAAATGGCTGAGACTGTAGTAGTGTGTGCAGTTTGCTCCAGCTCTGTGCACAAGGCAGACACTTGGTTTTGAATCCAGTTACAGTCAAGGGCTCTTGGAGACTCAGTTCTTTCTTTCGAAGCAGGGCAAGGACTGGCCCAGTGGTTCCTTAGCCCCTCTCTGAGGACCCTGCCATGCCAGGCTCAGGCCAGGATGTGTCCCTCCCTCTGGGCTACCTCACCTTTAGGCCGCCGGCCTGAGCAGTGTACCTCGAGTGCTGGTGGGCTCTGAGCCAGCTCTAGCCTGTCTCCCTGGGCAGGGGCTGGGCCAGATGGTTACTCTGTGGAGGGGAGCAGTGACCCCTCCACCTCCTCCCAAGTTTATCTGTGGAAGGTGGCCAAGGCCTTCCACTGAAGCAGCTGGCATTACAGTGAATAATGGCAAAGTCGGCAGCCCAGAAGATCACTGGGCTGGTCCCCAGGGATGGAGAACGCGGTTCTGAGGTTGGTGTAGTGGATGGGCCAAACCCTGTGACAGAGCTGGCACGTCACTGTCTCTGGAATACCAACCCCTGACCTTGCAAATACAGCCTGGGACATTCTCGGATTCCCACCCAAACTCTCTGCCGCAGAGGAAACAGTCATGAGTTGGGAATTAATGGATTACTTATGAAGCGAGCCCACGTGCTTGAACTAGGGGTCACCTCTGGAGTGTCCAGGGAGATGTTGCCAAGTCATGAGCCCAACCTGAGCACAGGAGACTTTTAGGTTCACATATGTGCGTTTTGGATACTTTACTTAACTGAGTCTGTGTTGTATTTGGCCTGGAGAATTCGGAGAATTTGGGACTCCCTTCCATTATAACTAATGGATTTCGTTACTTCTCGCTACAGTTAGGAAAATGGAAGGAAAGTAGACAGGTTGACATTCCCTCTCCACATTCCCTATTTGGCGCTGGCAGGGACGGGGGCCAGAAAAGTCGTTGTTTTGCTTGGCAGGTCTGCAGCAATTCTCAGAACTTCCACTGGGATGACTAACAGGAGCCATGAGGACGCAAAGTTTCACCCTGATGGGGGTGGAGGGACGGGTGTCCATGTACGGGAGCTTCCCCGGGGCTGCCGAGGGAGGCATTTTCTGCCTTCCGTCACCAAGCGGGTGCTTGGAAGGTCCCTGGGTCCCCTGAGCAACCGAAAAATTCAAGGGTTAAGTCTCAGGGAGCCCCAGGCTCTGTGCCCGGGTCCCATTCTTCCCTCTCACGGCTTGTGTGGCTTTTTCTTCCTCAGGGCGGCTTTGGCCGAAGGGGCCCTGCGGGAGCGAAGGTAAGCCTCTAGGGCTGGCGCACAACGGTGCTCACAGAGGGCTCCCAGGGGACTGTCCTTCAAATGGCCCAGATGCAACCCAGCCCAGGAATTTAAAAATACTCTCTCCTGGGGCTGTCAAGACACCTGTGCTCAAATAGCAGCTACCGCCTCCTTTCACTTGGCTGTGTCTGCAAGGCCTGGTGAAAGTGATTCCCCGCGGAGCCCCGGGCGAGAGGAAGGAAAGACGCTGGGGTAGGCCGCGTGCAGGGCACCTCCCCGCTAGAACGTGCGCGCTTGCCCGGCCATCCGCGGGCCGCGCTTCCTGCCGTCTCAGTCCTCCCCCTGGGCGAGGCAGGCGTGGGTTCGCGCAGCCGCGCTGAGGAAAAGGTGGGAAACCATTGCAGACGTGCGGAGAGACGGCGCTGCGATGATCCGAAGCCCCAGAGGGCGGCGTGTTCCCTGGCTGCTTTCCAAGCCCCTAGTCCAGAAATGACAGTGGGACAAAGAGCCGACGTCCCTCGCACCTGTCCTGACCCCCCTGTGCCTTCTCTTGTTTCAAAGGGCAACAAGGGCAATCCAGGCCAGCCCGGCTTCGAGGGGGAGCAGGGGACCCGAGGCGCCCAGGTCAGTACTCCCCGAGCCATCGCGCGCCCCGGGGTATTTTCCCACGTTCCCTGGTGTTGCCTTTTTCAAAACTGATGTTTGTATAACACAAAATGAACCATTTTAAAGTGAGTGATTCAGTGGCATCTGGTACCTTCACAGTGTTGCGCAACCACCACCTCTGTCCAGTCTCAAAACATTCTCATCATCCCCAAAGGAGACCCTGTCCCCATTAGCGGTCCCCCCTCATCACCCTCCACCCCCAGCCCCTGGCAGCCACCAACCTCCTTTCTGTCTTTGTGGCTTTGCCTATTCAGGACATTTCATACAAATGGAGTCATCTAACAGGTGGCCGTGTGCGTTTGGATCCCTTCACCGAGCGCAGTGTTTTGAGTTCATCCGTGTCGTGGCAGGCACCAGGACTCCGCTCCTTTTCATGGCTGAATAATATTCCCTTGTATGGATATAGCACAATTTGTTTATTCACTTGATGATTGACGGACATTTGGGTTGCTTCCACCGTTTGGCTACTGTGAATAACGCTGCTGTAAATATTCACGCACAGGTTTGCGTTTGAACTTACAGTGGCCTTTTCCTTCCTCAGGGCCCAGCTGGTCCCACTGGTCCTCCAGGCTTGATAGGAGAACAAGGCATTCCTGGAGCTCGGGTGAGCCTGTCCTTATTCCACCCCACCCCCCTTGCTAAGCAGAGTGCACGTGGCCAAGCAGGCTGAGAGTTTCTTGGATGATACCGTTGCAGACAGACTTCCCTTCAGCCCCCTCTTTGGCAACACAGACCCGGCATCCAACCTCAGTCCTCTCACTGACTGGCTACTTCACCCCAAGGAAGCAAGAATCCGTTTTCCTTGGTGCTCCAAGGGCTTCTAAGTCCCAATATAGTCCTTCCAAATCTAGGATCCGGGGTGGTAAGCAAGGGAATATGTGCCTCATCTCAGAAGTCTTAGGATGGAATTGTGTAAAATCTAAATCTACAAAAATTCTTAGATTATGCCAAGTGTTTCATATTTGGCCCCTAGAGATAGCCCCTGTGGTTCAGTATTTTGTATGAGGAGTTGTTCAAGTTTATCCTCAAGTCCAGCACAGAAGGTGTGCTGTGGCCACAGACGTTCACGTATATCGTAGCTGTTAGCAATGACCAGCAGAAGCATGTTGCTGTTGCCGAACTGGGATCAGGTGCCACGAAGCTACATACAAATAATCGGGTTTCTGGCGCATCTGAGATGGTATGTAGGGAGACATCCTCTCATTTGTTACTGAAAAAATAATGAATGAACTGGAAGCAAGCTGGTCTGTTGCTACATAAATGCACAGAAATATTTTACAGTGGAAGTAGGCAGGAACTTGCATAGAAAGCCCTTCTCTAGCTTGAGAACTGATAATTATCTATTTTTAAAGCTTTTGTGAGTTTTTAGAAAACATTTATTTAACTTCTAACTAATCAAGAATTTAAGATGGCATAGACACAAAGCTGTTCAAATAGTCACCCAACAGCCCCAGAAACATTTATTAATTTGTGCTGTCCCACCATCTGTCTCAGGGGCATTTCTGGGCTGCGTAGGCTATACCGCGATTTACAAGTCAATTTAGTTCATTGCTTTATTCATTCACCCCACAGGCATTTATGCACCTGTACACATCAGGCGCTCATTGTGGGGGTATAAAAGGGAAGGGAATAAAGTCACATAAAATCTGGGGGCTTATTGTCCAGTCAGGAACCTACGACATGCGTGTTAATAACTGCAATTTGCATTAATTTGTGAGAATTGGCACTGAGAGGCAATGCTAATGTTTTAGATTTGCACAGGCCATTTCCACGTGTGTTTGTGTTGAGTCTGTAGCCCCGTGTGCCGTTCTGAGCGCTTGGGATTTGCAGTCAGGACAGTCACATGCCTTTGGCGGGCTCTGACCTCCATGCAGGGTTGGGGCGGGGAGCCGGGGTTCAGAGATACCTTTGCTCGGATACCTCACTGACACACTCCTCTCCTTGCGCTCTAGGGACCTGTAGGTAACGCCGGTGCCCCTGGAGAACGTGGCAGAAGTGGTCCCCTGGGAAGAAAGGTTTGTCTGAAGAAAGGTAGAGCTTCTCTAAGGACAGGGACCGGGCCAGCTGCACACGGCCCCACGTCCTCTTTTGTCAGTCCGTCCCCCGGCTTAGGCTTAGTTAGCGCATCTCTTCTCCTCCCCACTGCTGGTCTCCACACCAGCCTCTCCGTTGGCAGCCAGCTCGGCCAGTGGGGTCCCCGTCCCAGCCAGGGTCCCTACTCAGTGAGCAGCTTTCTCCTAGCCCGAGCCCGCCGTCCGCCGGCAGATCTCTCTCTTGCCGTGGCGGGTGCCCACGGCGCAGAGTCCTCTGAGCCTTCCGGCCGCTGGGCAGCGCGTGGCGCAGTTGAGATCATGTGGGAGGCGCAGTCTTTAACCATGGGCAGTGCACACACCGCGGCGCTGCCAACCGTGTCAGATCATCCACGAGACCCCAGTCCTGACTATTCCAGATACCACTTTTGTTGTTCGAAGGCTGCGAGAGCCCGCTTTCCACCAGCCTTGAGATTAGCTACAGTTTGTCATAACCAGTCTGGAAAGACAGCGTATTCTCAGTAAAAGAAATGTGCCCACATGAATCCACGATGATCTCTCTGCCTCGCTGGTGGTGTTGGGTTTTCCTGAATTCAATGCCCGCCGCCTTTCCTGCCGCTTCTCCCGGCTGTTTCTCTCTCTGCCCATCAGCCGGTTCCCCATGCCACGCTGATGGAAAGGACAAACATAAACCTTCCTGGATCCTTTTCCAGGAGTCCACACACGAACATTGCAATTTAGAAAATCATTTCTAAGCGAGCAGGTGGCGGCACCCTCCCCTAGGTCAGCAGGGCTGGGCATCATGCTGCCAACCAGCCTTGGCCCAGAGTCTCAGCTGCGCTGTTTCTCTTGTCTAGGGCGAGCCCGGAGGCCCAGGACCAAAGGGAGGCATCGGGAACCGCGGCCCCCGAGGGGAGACGGTAAGGGCCCAGCGCGCTCGGGCTCCAGCTGTGGCTGACTCTTTGCTCACAAGTGCAGGAGGCCAAGAGAGGGGCCCAGACGGGGATGACTGGAGCCTGGCTCCTTGTGTTATTGGGGGTACGACTGGAAACAGTGAAATCTGCTACTTATGCTTTGCAAATTTCCAAAATAAGTGGATTTCACTGGCCAGGGTGGAGGGGTGGCGTGGGCAGTGGGGAAGGACATTTTTTCCTGATACAATGGAACGTGGTGGTTGAGCTTGAGCACCTTCATTTTCGGTCTTGCAAAGGCTTTGTGAGCGTGACTGGAGCTTTTCTGCAAAGCAGTAAATGTCGTTGGGTTGTTAATAAAATGGAATTGGATTTGAAAAGGTTTCAATCCAGAGGGAAACAATTTCTTTTGAATGGGACATCCTAAGAATAGAAATTATTACCTCAGTAACTCATTTTTTAAAACACTGTTTAAAAATACTCCGGCTACTCACTAACAATGATTTCGTAGTGTACATTTCTATGTAGGAAAAAGAAATCTGCACTCCACTGAGAATTTTTCTAAAATGAGTCACTGTACCTAAACATTGTATAAACGGACCAGGTTGATCTGACTGCTGTAATCCCCACGCTTCAAAATATTTCCCTTGTGTTTCTTTCCTTGTGTTGTCTTTCCAGCTAACTGAAGTTTAAAAAATCTATTGCTATTACTTTTTGTCTCAGAAGCACAGGGGAAAAAAATCAATTCGCGCTGTTGAAGGAAATCTCTTCCTGATTCTGTTTCTGTCAATTTGGGGACGAGAGAGCTATGGGGAGCTTTCTAGGTGTCGATACCTGATTAAAACTGTAGATTAACTACGTAGCGATTCCCCACATTCTAGAGATATTAGTGTATGCCTCCCACAGATTCTTCTGGTTCTTTTGAAATAATTAACGGTGTCCAGTTCTGGATGCTTCCGTGGCAGAGGGACAGGGACACATCCGGGTGCACGGGCCAGTGGGCGTTGGGGAGGAGGGGTCTGGAAGTGGTGACGTGGAAGGAAGCGAACGAGTGTGGGGAGGGGTACGACCCGGCACAGAGAACCCCGCGGGGCCCCCGAGATGAGGTCAGTGTTCTCGCGCTCGTAGAATCAAAGACTCGGAGATGCCAAGGCGACGTGCCCGCCCGGATCCCTTTCAGCTCCGAGCTCCTCTGGTTTCATGAGTCGTTGATTCCACAGCCAAGCAGTATCTTTACCAAAAGCCACTAGCCGTGCTTCATGCCTGGGGTCCACAGGCACCATTTCGCTAAAGCAGTCCTTTGAGCCCACCCCCTGCAGACACGTCTCGTTCCCACTCGGAGGATGGGACAGGAGCGGGAACCTTGGTCTGGAAACATTTCGGGGACTCAAGGACCCTCCGCCCAGGGCAGCAGCAGGGCAGAGGTGGGGCTGTGATGCGCCCGGCACGGAGACCTGCAGTAACTCTCTTTCCCACTCGTAGGGAGATGACGGACGGGACGGAGTTGGCGGTGAAGGACGCAGAGGCAAAAAAGTATGTACCTGCAGGGGTTCCTAAGAGCCCCTGCTGCCGAGACCGCGAGCACAGCTTCTGATGTGTTATGTCTGAAAGGATTATTCCTTCGAATTTTATTGTGTTTGAGTGATTGTTTTCTTTTGATGATTTTGTAGATTTTTTTTCTTTCGAGATCAATTTATTTTAGATGAGTTTAAATTGGGACCAAATATTGAGTCATTATTTATCTTTTATAGGGAGAAAGAGGATTCCCTGGCTACCCAGGACCAAAGGTAAGTACTCCCCTGTTGGTGAAACGTCACCAGAGTTTTTGGATCAGTCTGGTATGTCCAGGGACCGAAAATCAGAGTATCCTGGCGTTAGTCTTGGGTCAGCCACTTACTAAGTGGGCTGCCCTGGGCAAGACTCTGCCTTCTCTAGGAAGTCCCTCATCTGTCAAATGGAGGTGACAATACTCACTTGTCATGGTGTTTATGAGGTTTAAATAAAATATATACAATCAGAGTACTTCGTAAGCTGTAAAATGCTGTAACCTATACGTATCATTATTGATTGTATAAACGAAGGCATCTGCAGATGCCGCAAATATACTAGTGACCCTCTGGAAAAGGGAATCAAAGTTAACCATTTAGCAGCTTGGTAAATGTGATTCAGACGCCCGTTGAGGTCCTGCCCTAGGGGGTCGCAGGAGACCCTCTGCCCTGGTGTAACACACGCCTTCTCTGCTCTCTTCCCAGGGCGGCCCTGGCGAGCCGGGGGCAGATGGGACGTCAGGACCCAAAGGCATCAGAGGCCGGAGGGTGAGTTTGCCTGGGCATCGGCTGCCGGTGGGAATGAGAACGAGTGTAGCAGTGTGATTTACTGCTGAGGGCTTTCAGAACTATTCTTCGAAAATAATCCTTCACCTGCAACCTGGCCAGTGATGGGACAGGGAGGAAGGAAGGGAATTCCAAGACCCAGACCAATGTCCTCAGAGCGCCACCAGACTGTGGTCCGTGCCCAAGAGCCCTTCCTCTAATGTACCTCAGGGATGCCAGCCGGCTGCTCCCAGCGCCACACTGGGGACGCTCCAGTTTCAGAATGGGCGACATCGGAAGTTTGTGCAGCCGCCTGCGGCCACACCCACCCAGACACAGAGGTTGTGGGGCTGAACGAGGCCCATGACCTGCTTCTGAGGGTCCCAGGCTCACCGGTGAGCCAAGGCCGAGACCAGGGCCCCCACCCCACTGGAGAGGAGGCACCTCTTCCTCAAGCTGCCTTTGGGTCTGAATCACTCTTTTAAGTGGGTGTTAACTCACCCCCAAGATGCTGCCGAGTCTTGAATGAGCAAGTTGTGGCCTAGATATGGGTAAACGTTGCCAACAGTTATTTTTGGCCTGAAGTCCAGTTCATAATAATCATAATTTTCCTGTTAATTTGATCAGTGAAGACAGTCAAGCTAGATCACTTACTGCTCAAGGTAGGGTATTAAAACCTTGATTAGTTACCTATACTGAACGATGATCTAATTCATCGTCTGTTACTAATTCCCTTGGGCATCCATAGATAATCTTATTATCTCATTAATGGTTCTTGGACAACCATCTGTTTTACCTTTACCTGCCAGAGAACACAGCACCCCCATAGTTGTGGGGTCTTCCATCAGCTTTGCTAAGGTGGCTTATCCCCATACTAGAGTTTAGGAGACATTTAGGCTCCCTGGAAATGAGATTTCTCAGGGCAGTGGGGCGCTTGGATTAGATCACCTTTACCATCCCTTTCACTGCCCAGCTGAGAACTTCAAGTCTCCCGCCACGATTGAACGATGCTTGCTCTGCCCTCTAGGGAAATTCCGGACCTCCAGGAATAGTCGGGCAGAAGGGAGACCCCGGCTACCCAGGACCGGCTGTAAGTAGTTGTCCAGTTCTGACCAAGCCCCTGGGGCTGGGTGCTTCACATATGGTCTGGGAAAACTTCCACCATCTCCCTTCCTCACAAAGAAGGTGTTCTGTACTGTTCTCATTGGTTTTTTTAACCACTTCCTCTCTGACATCCCAATGGAGAGAAGAGCTTTTGAATTTTAGAGTAACAAGAAACTTTTTAAAAAATGTTTCTTGTGACACTCTGCAATGTAGGGTGTATTGTAATTTGCCTTTAATAGTTTCTTGGTATGGATTTGTTTGAGGTTTGTGCAAGGGAGAAGCCAAAGAGAGCACACCTAAATGCCTCCTGTTTGCGTCCTGTAGAAGCGGCACAGTGATGTCAGGCCTTGGTTTGGGGGATGCTTCCTTTGGTAGATGAAATCCCCAAGGGAGCTCCCCACTCATGGTTTCAAGCCCACCGGTCCTGCTGCTGCCAGGAGCCAGGAGGGTGTCCTCCCACAGCCCCTCGACAACATGCTTGTTGTTCATATCTTAGCTTCCTTATTTGAATTTCTCCCTATGTTGAAATTGATGAGGTTCAAAGAGGAATGGAAAAGATAACTCAGGAGTTGGAAAATCACTCTAGGAAGGAAAGGTTAAGGGATTAGTGTGGTTGAACTAGGGAGAAGAAGGCTGGTCAGGTGCTGCTTTAGTGGGTGGGGTGTGTAAGGGGGAACGTTAAGCCAGTTCCTACAGCGGACCAGGTAGGCAGAAAGAGCCTCATAGAAAGGTGCCCAGGGGCCCTGAGATGACTACTGGACCACCAGGGCAGCAGCATGTGGATGCTGGGGCAGCTTCCAGCCTACCTCCAGAGCTCCTGGGGCTGGCGTCGTCCGGCCAGGATGCCTTAGCCGTGGAGGGGACTAGGAGCTCTCAGCCTGCCTCGCTGACTCTCCTGGGGGCATGGGGTGTATTAAACTAGCATGTCAAAGGAATCTCCTCCCTTAGGAGAAGCAGTGTCTAGACTCACGCTCAAGGATGTGATTTCCATAGATTGGTGATGAGCTGCCAAGTTTTTAGGACACGGGGCTATTTCCAAAGCCAACTTACCTTACGGTGGAAACACTTTTGTTGTCCAAGTCTTCTATCTTTTGCTTTTCAAGTGATCAAGTCAGATTTATTGGGCGAGACTGTTGATGGTCAGGGTGGCCCAAAGCCCCCCTTTGCATCCTCTGCCATGTTTCCATGGGCCAAAGAGTGTCCTTTTACATTCCACATGCAGGACTTTTGCCGCACATCTCAGCCTTTCCTTCCTTGGTTTTTCAGGGTCACAAGGGCAACAGAGGCGACTCCATCGATGTAAGTTGCATGTGTCCAGACTGAATTGTTGCCTTGCGAGCCTGTGAGCAGCTCTCCTTACGTGTTCTTTTATTTTCTTTTAAAGCAATGTGGCCTTGTGCAAAGCATCAAAGATAAATGTCGTAAGTACATGGTTTTCTATTGGCTTTGACAGTTTATATTTTTACATTTGAAATTCTCACGTGCAAACATGCCTTTCACTCTTTCTTCTCTCTCCCTTTTATAGCTTGCTGCTATGGTAAGTTGATTTCAGTGATTGGACTTTCTCCTGAGGAAAGAAAGTCCCCCTTTTGCGGTAAGTGAAGTTTGTCTCTGAAAACCCCCCACTTTCCCCAGGGCCCCTGGAATGCCCCGTCTTCCCGACAGAGCTGGCCTTTGCTTTAGACACCTCCGAAGGTGTCACCCAAGACACGTTTAACCGGATGAGAGACGTGCTCCTGAGTATCGTGGGCGACTTGACCATCGCCGAGAGCAACTGCCCACGGGGGGCCCGAGTGGCCGTGGTCACCTACAACAATGAGGTGACCACGGAGATTCGGTTTGCTGACTCCAAGAGGAAGTCTATCCTCCTGGACAAGATTAAGAACCTTCAGGTGGCTCTGACCTCCAAACAACAGAGTCTGGAAACCGCCATGTCATTCGTGGCCAGAAACACGTTTAAGAGAGTGAGGAACGGATTCCTGATGAGGAAAGTGGCCATATTCTTCAGCAACAGGCCCACGCGCGAGTCCCCACAGCTCAGAGAGGCCGTGCTGAAGCTCTACGACGCGGGGATCACGCCCTTGTTCCTTACGAGCCAGGAGGACCGGCAGCTCGTCAACGCTCTGCAGGTCAGCACCCTGGGGCGTCTCCCTGTCTTCCTGGGCTCGTGGCAGGTGTCAGGCACATCCATGCGCCTTGCTGGATTCCTGTCCCATCACTTCTAAAAGGTCCTAGGCGAGGCCAGTCTGGCTGAAAACTTCTTGGTGAGGTTTCCGGGACAGTTCTATGGCTCCAGCACTAGAGGGACATCCAAGTGCCTGGAACTCACTCCCTCTGGGTCCCTGCTCACATGTTGACATCTCTTGCCAATGAGTGAGGCTCTGTGTCCTCACTGGCCAGACGGAGATGTCAGCACTCATGACACTCTCTAACTACTGATGGGGGTGTTGTGGCTTATTTGCTTTGTTCATGGGGACCTGGATCTTTGGATCTGGTCTGGCTCCTCCCAACATGGCCCCGTGTGGTCACTCTGAGCTGTGTGACCCTGTCCTGGGCATCTACTTCCTGGGATGGTGGGGTTTGTGTCGTCAGTCTCACCTCGTGGAGAAGATTCTGCAGTTACAGGGGGACACATGTGAGGATGAGACCCTAGTCCCTCAGACTCTGCAGCCCATGTGCTGTGACTCCCCATCCCACGCTGTCCTGACCAGCCCTGAAGGTGATCATCCTGGGGTGGCCCACCCTGGAGGGCTGCAGTCTCTTAGTGAGGTCCCCAAAACATTGGTGACCCTGCACTCCCAACCTGAACCACTGTGCAAACCCTTCTTTAGCCAGGCTCCGAGGGTCAGCCCATAGAGAGGCCAAGTGTCCCTGTCATTTGATTAAATAACTTATTTAATTGTTATATCAATTAAACGCAATTGAACGCACTGTTCAGTGTGTTCTGGTGGTGCTGCTCAAGGCACATGGACGATGGTAGGAGTGAAAGAGCCCCAGCCAGGAGTCGGGCGGCCTGGGCTCTAGTTCTAGCCTGCCTACCTGCTTAAAGGAAGACACCTGCGCTTAACCTCTGTGTCTGAAATCTGCTGCCTGTAGGATGTGGCTGAGGCTAGATGATCTCTGGTGTTTTCCCTTCGAAACTGGATATTCCATGGTTTTGTCACTGCCTATGTCAGCAAGAGACAGCTGGGTGACTGCCGCTGTCCTGCGGTGTTTATTCTGCCAAATCACAGGCCAATGTGATCACGGACCACCGCACACAGCATCTGCCCTTGCGTGGGCCGAGTAACCCGGAACTACATGTTTCTTAGCATGGTTTCAGCAAGATCAAAAAATTATTCATTCATTAATTACTCACTCCTTCATTCATTCAAATTGGTTGCTTGTTAAGTGAATAATTACCAAGTGTGAACCAGGAGCTATGATGGACAGGGCGTTTTGCTTCTGCTAGGATCGATCTTGTTGCTTACTTTGTCTTTAGCAAGACCTGGGAGGGTGGGGAGAGGTGGACTTGCACTTGCCGGCTGCTGTTGCCAGGAATAAGGACAATATTCACATCCCCTCCACTTGCTAGAACATATCCGAGTACTTTACACACATTATCTAATTTGATCCTCCAAATAACCCCATTAGGAAGGTACTTTTATCTCCATTGTACAGTGGAGGAAACGGAACCCCAGGGACGTTAAATACTTTTTGCTTTGGGCCCAGCAGAAATACGTGAGTGGGAATTGAATTCTGGCTCATCTCATTAGAATAAAACCTGTGTTTTTCTGTTATACTCAGAGCCTACTCCACCCCCAAATGAGAAGATACTGAGCTGTTGGGAAGTTTATTTTATTGATGTGACTTCAGCTGTATTTTCAAATAGTTACTTGTTCACTCCTACCAAAAATTTCTTTTGTCTAAACCAGATCAATAACACGGCGGTGGGGCACGCACTTGTGCTGCCCGCGAACAGAGACCTCGCAGACTTCTTGAAGAACGTCCTCACGTGCCACGTTTGCTTGGGTAAGGGGCTTCTCTGATGGGAGAACCTGTCCAGCTGCCACTGCAAACGTCCTCTCCACAGAGGAAAATTTGATGAATAATCATGATCCGTGTAAAGAGCTTGAGTTAAATTAAGGCTCACAAAGCCTTATGTTTACCAGTGTAAATGCTACATACGTAGTTTCCGTATCTAAAGTGGACCTCCCCAAACAGAGCTTCTCTTTGATAGGGGAATCATTAGTTTTATAGCTACCCAAGGAGGACTCTGCTTAAGTTTTGACCGAAAATCTAGAATGAAAATCTTTGGCTCTAGTGACTTTCTAGGGCATTTCTTCAAAGGGTGGCAAAGAACTAAGGGTATTTTTCTTTTGTTTTTTTAATGCCAGTCCCATGGTATACTGCAACGATTTTAGCTCCTGATTTGCTTATCTACTAAGTATTAGATGGTGAACACTGAAATCTGGCCAGAATCAAGGCAGCAAGATATTAATATAAAGAGGTTGCTATTTTACGTGACAATTTTCCTCACCCCAGACGCCTGGCAGACTGCTGTGCTGCCCTGCCCTGCGATGGGAGGCAGAGAGTAAATGGCTGTCCCGCTTCTTTCCAGACATCTGCAACATTGACCCGTCCTGTGGATTCGGCAGCTGGAGGCCTGTCTTTAGGGACAGGAGAGCGGCAGGGAGCGACGTGGACATCGACATGGCTTTCATCTTGGACAGCTCTGAGACCACCTCTCTGTTCCAATTCAACGAGATGAAGAAGTACATAGGGTACCTGGTCAGACAGCTGGACATGAGCCCAGACCCCAAGGCCTCCCAGCACTTCGCCAGAGTGGCTGTCGTGCAGCACGCGCCCTACGGGTCCGTGGGCAATGCCAGCGTGCCGCCCGTGAAGGTGGAGTTCTCCCTGACTGACTATGGCTCCAAGGAGAAGCTGGTGGACTTCCTCGACAGGGGGATGACACAGTTGCAGGGAACCAGGGCCTTGGGCAGCGCCATCGACTATACCATAGAGAACGTCTTTGAAAGCGCGCCGAACCCTCGGGACCTGAAGATCGTGGTGCTGATGCTGACGGGCCGGGTGCAGGAGCAGCAGCTGGAGGAGGCCCAGAGAGCCGTCCTGCAGGCCAAGTGCAAGGGCTACTTCTTCGTGGTTCTGGGAATTGGCAGGCAGGTGAACGTCAAGGAGGTTTACGGCTTCTCCAGCGAGCCGAACGACGTCTTCTTCAAGCTGGTGGATAAGTCGACCGAGCTCAACGAGGAGCCTCTGATGCGCTTTGGGAGGCTGTTGCCGTCGTTTGTCAGCAGTAAGTCCTGCGTCGCACGGCGGGCACCCTGGCCCCGGCTCTATGTGAGCCCACACCCGTGGGCCTGGAGGAGGAGGGGAACAGTCCCGGGAAAGACAACCCATGTGCTGACAGGAACTTGTACATCCATTCAACAAACATAATTGACACCCTCATATGCCAGAGATGCTTTAGGAGCCAGAGTCCGCAGGGAACACACATTCAGCAAAGCTTGTCCTCATTCCCTCACTAATATTCCACCACATTGGACCAAGCACCTCCCAGCCGGGGGCACTGTTGGTGTCCCTGATAGTTTACAAGGGGGTGGGAAAATGCATTTATTATGTGTGACATGACATGCTGGCGTGTCAAGAGAAGTGTGTCTGTTGGGGGCATTGGGGAAAGCTTCTAGAAGGAGTTGCATTGATCTGGGCTTAGCTGCCAGACCCCTGCTTGGATAGCTCTGGGTCTTTGCCGAGGGGGCTCTCGCTCCCTGGGCCGCCCTCCACCCTGCTCTAGCAGAAGTCCGCATTCACCTTCAAAGCTCAGGCCTGACCACCCCTGTTCACTGTGGAGCTACCACTGCCAGCGCCTGCTTGTGGTTAGTCTGGACGCTGTACTTACCACATCTATTATTTAATACGTGGCTTGGTGGTTGTAAATTTACAGGTCTGTGGACCCCAGCAGATAGCATGTTCCTTGAGGAGGTGCAGCCCTTTGTAGTTCCCAGAGCCTGGCACAGTGCACAGCCCAGACTCAGACAGGCAGAGTAGCCAACAAATGAGGGAGATTTATAAAATACAAATAAACACGGATGTGCTGTAAGTTTATCATTCAAGGGAAAGTTGACATCTACGAAAACAGTATCCCCATTTGTGAAGGCCTGTCCCTCAAAAGATTCAGGAGAGGCCGGGCGCGGTGGCTCACGCCTGTAATCCTAGCTCTCTGGGAGGCCGAGGCGGGCGGATTGTTTGAGCTCAGGAGTTCGAGACCAGCCTGAGCAA